AGTCCGCTTAGATAGTTTTGGTGTCCACATATACAGACAGTCTTTTGCGCTCGTTAAGAAAATAAGATATTAAATTTGACTTATGTTAAGAAAGATAGAGGTATACCTAAAAAAATTTAGTTAAAAAATATTAGAAATGATTTTCTTCATTAGATTTCAACGAGAATTTGATTTTTAACAGGACAATGGACAAAAAAGATTCATGTAGCCGACCGATGAATGTGACAAAGGCTTGATGAAGTTGTTGTTGTTATTGTTCCGCCTTAAATCCGCCCATGCTTCTTAGTATATATTAGACCACTTTCACACTATTGTTTGGCTTTGAATTTTTTAATTTCTAAATTGAGTCACATTAAAGAGTTCAGGTAATTTCGATTTGTTTTGCAAACTCATTTTCTGTGAACTTAGGCTTCGTTTGGGACGACTTTCTTACTGTTTAAAGTAAATTTCAAGCAAAAAAAATTAAAAATTTTGTAGTAAAAAAATATTCAAGGCAAAATTTTAAAAATGAGAATTTGTTTCAGATAGATACTACTAAAAACATATCTAAAATATCATCTCTTTGATTTGTTGCAGAATCTTTCAAATCCTGTTCTTATTAACGCTGTCAAGGGTATGAATGTTCTTGTTTTATTGTCTTATTCAATTTCTTTTTTCCTCCAATTTCCTGCATAATTTTGTTTTCTCTTCAGCATTTTCTCCTTTAAAGCTTCGTCTTGGAGGTTCTTTGGATGATAAAGTTCTATATGAAACTGGAGATTTTGGTCTTCCTTGCTTACCATTTGTGAAGAATGATTCTGCATTGTTTGGGTATAATGATGGCTGCTTGCCAATCTCAAGATGGGACCAGCTTAATAAATTCTTTGAAGAAGCTAGGTATATTTAGAGTTCCTTAAAATTTGATTTCTCTTCTTTCGTGTATGGTTGTTTGAGTTATCATACTGACATTTTGATGTTGCTCATCTCAATATGAAACCAAGCATACTATGAAGCATCTTAAGGAAGCTAAACTCTTAAACATCGAGGTTAATTTTGATGTAATTGTTGGAATTTCATTAAGAAACTATGTATTTAAGCGTGCTCATCATGGAGAAATCTTGGGATGGGTGACCTCCTGGGAAGTTGCACTGATAGGACAAAACCGCGAGGCCCATAGGTCAAAACGGACAATATATCGATAGTTAGTTTAGACTTTTATAAATAGTATCAGAGCAATGCACTAAACTGAAGATAAAAACTAAGTATTATACAAGAAAGGTACTACGACATATGAACCACCTCTTGAGCTCTATATAGGACAAAATACTACGTGGCAAGAGTCACCACTTTGGGATAAAATACTACAGCATTCATATAAAGATGTCAGAACTTATTTGTCTGATGGATGATTCTACGATAAAGATGTTGGCAAAGACATAAGTTAAGTGGGTTGTGAAAGCCTTTAAGTAAAAGAAACTACACTTTTTAACATCTAAGTGCCTTTTAGTATAATGGTTAAAATTTCATTAAGAAACTCCACTGTTAAGCGTTCTCATCCTAGAGAAATCCTAGGATGGGTGACGTCTTAAAAAGTTACACCAACATGATAAAACTATGATGCTTTTAGGCCAATGTGAATAATATCTCGATAGTTAAGAATTTGGGCTGTTACACATACATGTAGCTCGCCTTAATCTGTTGGTTGGGAAAAGATCTCGTGTTCGAGTCTTACATTAATGCTAATATCACAATAACACCGATATTTAAATAATGTCAATCCGAATAGCTCAATCTTATTAGGAATAAAGAATATGTTGTCTCACTTTCTTAGCAGTTTCTTCTGCAACTTTATGGCAAGCATTCAAATTAACTCGAGTTGTTTGCAGTAAATTTTGATAGCTTTTGATTCTATCTTATACATAGCTTCTCTTTAATAGGGTTTCAGTTGTCTTTGGGCTGAATGCTCTTAATGGAAGAGTTCCAATGCCAGATGGTTCAGTAGGAGGTCCATGGAACCACACAAATGCTGAATCTCTAATTCGTTTTACAGCTAATAAGGGCTACAACATCTTAGGCTGGGAACTTGGTATGATCTACAGGAATTGCTACTTTCATCTCTTAGGTTTCGTTTGGGACGGCTTCTTAAAACAGCTTTCTAGTAATTTTTATACTAAAAAACTGCTTTAAGAAGCAATAAAAAAACTGTCCCAAACAAAACCTTAGACTCTACCGAACTTCTGACAGCTTTATATGAATGCTTTTTTCCTTTGACACAACTTCATTATAAAGCTTAATTTTCTCATATAAGCCTAAGGAAATTAACTGAGTTAACAAAAAAATTTTGTTCTCTCTTCAGGGAATGAGCTAAGTGGCAAGGGAATTAGAGCTCGAATCGATGTAGCTCAATATGCAAAAGATACGAAATCTCTGAAGAAAATTGTGGATCAGATCTATGAGGGTCGGTCAGGGAAGCCATTAATAATTGCTCCAGGTGGTAATTTTGAAGTAGAATGGTATAGCCAGTTCATTGACCTGACAAAAAGGTCTTCCTCACTGGACGTAATCACCCACCACATGTATATTCTTGGTCCAGGTACTTAATCACAACTCATGAAGGATATAGAATTTTCATATGAACATTTTGGCTTATTTTATGATGTGCCAATAAACAGGTGTGGATGAGCATTTGGTGGAGAAGATCCTGAACCATAGTCGTCTTGATCTCGCGGCATCGGTCTTCGCGAACCTCAGTGTCATATTAAGGAATGCTGGCTCTTCTCCGACCGCATGGGTCGGAGAAGCTGGAGGAGCATACAACAGTGGTCGTAATCTTGTCACTAACTCTTTTGTTTCAAGCTTCTGGTAAGTTTCTTTTCCTACAGTTAGTTGACTCAGATTCCCAAACTGTTATGGAAGAAAGGTAATCTAAATTCTTTTCCTGTTGAAAATAGGTACCTGGATCAACTTGGGATGTCAGCAAACTATGACACAAAGTCCTATTGCAGGCAGAGCTTGATAGGTGGAAACTATGGACTACTAAACACCACCACCTTCGAACCAAATCCAGATTACTATAGGTAAACTAATAATCTTGTACTAAAAGATAAGGTTCTCAGTTCATAAGAGTAAAGCTTCTAATAATTTTATAGCATGTAGAACAATTTACCTATAACGTTGTGAACAATTTGTATCAAGTAGATTGGGTCTTGTCTAGTTGACACTTGGGGTAAGCTTAAGCTTGCTGCGAATCAACTAATGAGATAGTGACAGGAAAAGTCCCAAAAGGATTTGCTGAGAATAAATTAAGAACTTAGTACATTAAACATCTTAAGCTGATCTGGGCTTAAATCATCTAGTTGGACATAGCACATCTTGGCCTGTTGGTTGAAGTTTAGGCTACCAACTAAAAGGTCTTGGGTTCGAGTCTTTGTGTATGATGTGTGTGTGACTTTTCCTTAATTGGCCTAAATGTCCCAAAAAAAAATCATCTAGTTGGAAAAAGCTTATTTGTTAATTTTCTCAAGCTCCAGTCGAACAAGCCCTTAATGCTAGGAATTTGATGTTGAGTTAATGAGTTCAAGAAAATGACTTCCCATGCTAAAAAGAATTCAATATACCAAGTTGTCACTTTCTTGTGCCAAGTATAGTCATCAACCAGCTTCTCAATGTAATCTTTGTGATTATACAAAAATTTGAAAACAAACTGGTCAATGATTGATAAATCAAATTAAATATTATCAGGTACCTTGAAGCTAAGAAAATCACAAAACATGCTATGAATTACAACTCTACAACTGCACAACTTTAGTACTAATATTGTTTCTCTTTACTATAGCGCTCTTTTGTGGCATCGCTTGATGGGTCCGAAAGTGCTAGCCACAGATTTCATTGGAACAAAGAAGATAAGGGCCTATACGCATTGTGCAAGAGATTCTGTAAGCTAAACAAAAGTTCATCCATGTGTTCTTTCAAGTCGCCATCCCTCAAATTTTATCTAATCTTCTCTTTACAGAATGGTATAACACTTCTCTTACTCAACCTGGACCTCATAGAAACAGCATATGTGCAAGTTAGTATCAAAAGTGCTGAATTCACTAAGGAAACAAGGGAAGAGTATCATCTGACTGCAAAAGATGGGGACTTGCACAGCCAAACCGTCCTACTAAATGGCAAAGCTTTGAATGTGGATTCCTATGGACAGATACCTGCTTTAGAACCATTAGAAGTTGATGGCTCGCAGCCGATTAAAGTTGATCCTGTTTCTGTTGTTTTTGCTCACTTACCCTACGTTCATGCACCAGCTTGTATTTAATTTTCCTTTTTGTTAATTTCCATCTCAATGTGCAAAAATGATTGTGGCCATTCTTGTCATCATGGTGGCCATAAGTTTGACAATAGTTGTCTTTCTTTTCTTATAATCTCAATCAAAGAATAAAACGTGCATGAATAATCAGAGCTTGAAATGTCTTAACACGGCACGCTTCTTATCTTCTATATTTAGGCCTTCACTTCACAATTCTGTTATAATTAGATGCTTATGAGGTAGAACAGTCCGATACAAATTGAATGTGACAGCCAAAAACTAAGGAAAAATATTATATTAAAATAGTTTTCACTGCCTCTAGCTACATCCAAGCATCAGGATAGCTCAAGAGAAATTCAAGAGGTAAGTAGTTATTATAATTAGTATTCTGTTTACCTTTTTTTGTATTTTTTTTTTAATTTGCATTATCAATAGCTCAAAATAATTTATTAAGCTACATTCACAAAAAAATATATATCATTGATTGGTGTGGCCTGTCTCTTATACGAGTATTCCAAATCTTTCACCTCCAATATCACCCTACAGAATCTTACAATAAAAATTCTCAATGACTCGCATAATTCTTGTCTCATTTTGTGTAGAGCTTCCAAGCTCCTTCAGGGTTTTCTAGTGCTAGTAAACTGAGTTACAAATGTCCTTTGGAATTCTAAGAAGGTGATGACTCATATTGGCAAGCGAGTAAACCATTCAATGCAGGCTCCTCAAGGGTCGTAAAGAATAACAGGCACTTTCAAGCATTATCGGCGTCCAATAATGATGCCATTGAATCAAAGGTAGTCACATGGTCTACTTGATCAATCCTACCCCTATAAGACTCCAAGTGTGGAACTTTAAACTTAAGAGACAATCTCACCTCTATTATCTCCCAAAAGAAAGCATTTTTGGGTTCAATTCTTCTAAAATACTGAGGAGATGAATTATATTCTTTATCACTAATTATTATACTAGTGAGATTTGAAATAAGCATTGAGGTTAGCACTCAACTATTTGCCCTTCTACAATAAACTATCGAGTTGGACAACCCTTTTAGGGTGGTCTCCCTCTGCTTGTGCCTTGATAATCCTACTAGGGATTCTTGGATAATTTTTTTTTCAATCTATTCAACTTCCATGAGATCATGTTGACTAGTATAGTTTGGGTTCTCCAAGTTCACTAATGGTTCGGGGTGAGTATTCTCGTCAAAGTGCTTCTATTCTGGCCACTTGAATCAATCCACACTCAATGCCCATTTTAGTATATTAGATCTAAGTTTGCCTATGAGTGACACCCGATATTACTAATAGACAAGCTTTAAGGGTATGAACTGAGAATTAATGCTAGAATGGAATAAAAGAGAGGAAAACTCTCTAGGAAATATGATCTTCTAACTCAAATATTTATAAGAAAATGCCAAAGGAACCAAAATATTCCTCTTCTCCAAAAACTATAGAAAAAGCTACATCAATAAAGAAATAAAAAAACATAATAACTGACTCTTAGTACATACTTTCTTAATCACATGTCACACCCTAGCTAACTCAATGGGTGATTGTATCTCTTGATCATTTTTCTTCATCTTGGATGAGTTTTGTAATGTTGAGTGTGCAAGTACGAGGAGTAAGCGAGCCTGATAGTGAGTGATGAGTTGAGAGGGCTAACTAGCAAGCATACAAAAGCCGTTGTTGACCTTACTAATACTCTGAATTACTTTAGAGTGGAAGGCAAGTATGTTTAAGTTATGAGGATAATAGGAATTATAATAGGGTGATTGTGATGAGATTAGCTAGAATCCATCTAAAAAGGTACTTTCTTATAGTTGATATGATGAGAATGATGGATAACCCTCTATGAGTGGCTTTGGTAACTAGTTCATGCTGTAGGGCAAGTGACAAGTGGAATGTTCTGTGAAAAATCCTTGACTACTTTTGACAAAGCTGACTCCCCTCTAGATATTTCTCCTTGTGAGATCCATGAAGTAGAGGTTCACTCTCTATGATCTGTTTAATACCTAAAAATGCATATAACAATACACATAAATGAAGATATTTAAAATCACATTTACGTAAGAAGAGATGAACATAAATTGTTGAAATATGTTAAAATATTTTGAATTTCTAATTATATGAAAATTATCTTTTAAATTATTTAAATTATATAAATCAAACATATATATTTATAATATTATTTAACATAATAATTAAACTATAAAATTTTAATAAGTATTATCGAGCACAATTATTAAGACAAATTAGTTTTGATCAATCACACCATACAATATAAATAATACAGTACTACGTAAATCATACAATAATATAACATCAAACATTAATATATGGATCAAATAGTACCATCATTTAGACAGATTCATAATTACATTATGATTCATGAAAATATATAAGTTTAAACATTTATTCATCACCAGTACATGCATGTGTTACTGCTTATGTAGAATTGATTAGACTGAATACAAATTTATGTAATTACAATTTATTTACAAACCAATACTCGCACTTTATGTTCTATACTTGCATGTTCACATAATTATCCAAATGATATAATCAAATATTGTTATAATTATTAACATTTAACAGCCTAATTATTTAATTATGTCATACATGTCTTGCTTTAGTCATTGAATATTGAACTTTTGTATGTATTTCATATCGACTGAAAGGCTTTTGCATTGGAAAGATTTTTATAAAAAATTCTTGTCACTTAACACCCAATTAAACACCCTTCTAGTGTGCCCTTCATAAATAATATAGCTAGCGATTCACAAGTCGAATTCTCAAATGAGAAAATACTACCTACGCAAACCAACCTAATTGGTGCTTTTTAGAATTACTAATTTACGGAGCCAACTTTAAATCCTAAACAGGAAAACAAATCACATAATGGGATTGCGGAGAAAATAATCTAGTACATATAGACTTTCTCAAGAGATAATTTAACAAGTACATTGCAAATTTACAATAAACCCAGCTCTAATAAAAATTTGAAAGCTGGAATATCCATCTTGGGTCTACCAAAAGAGATATTGCAAGTACAATAAGGAAAGAGCAAACTAGCGGCATGACAACTGATTTCCTCTTCTATATTGTGCAAATTTGCCACGGTACGTAGATGAAGATTTAATGAGAAGATTATAATCGCAAGAACTTTAAATAGGTTGGTCTTATAAGAAAGATTTTGGGAAGAAGTTTGCTGCCAGAATTTTTCAAAATATTCGATCTGACATCCAATATATAGTTTCACAAAAGCAGGAGTACTTACTTGTCGGTGCCATTTCATCAATTTAGGCCAAGAAAGAAGCTTGTAGAACTGGTGTAAGTGCCTACGATAGTTTATTTGTTTCCTTAATCTTCGGGTACTGTTCTCATTGAACATTAATAAATATGTATGTCATTGTATAACAAACATGTTAATAATGAGAGCACCTCACTTTAGCCCGTTAATATATATAAAAGCAATGCAACAACAACAAAAACAACATCAAGCCTTTATCCCACTACATGGGATCGGCTACATGA